TCGTTACCGAGGGTTTCGTCGATATCTAACAGGATGTTTCGGATGTTTCGGATGTTCCGGATGTACCCATCATTTAATACGACCGAGCGTTTGAATTGACAAATCGACAAGCGTAAACTTCGGCATAATGCGAGAAAGAAGTCAGAATCAGGATACATCGATCCTTCAAACGATAATTCTCATCGCGAGATTCGTGGAACCGAATTTCATTTTAAGCGTAATGGCGGTCGATTGATCATTTTGAGGTTAGTCAATCGGTTACTATTAATCGGACTTAGGTTAGGTTATTAACTGGGATTTAACCGGTACTAATATGCGCACTCGCTGATCGTTGTGTGTATTTGCGGGATAGAATAATTATTAATGGCTCTGATGTTAATTGGATTTGACAATGATGCTTTTTAATTCGTTCTATCTATGGTCGATATACCGTTAGGAGGTCGTGATTTGAGGTTATGTACAAAATAGATTGTACCATTCAGTGTGTACATCTGATCGAAAGATCTATCGCAATTCAATTTAATGGAAATTTATTCAGCAGTATTCACGAAATTGAATTATATTAAATTAACCTTCAATTGCTGTCGAATTAAAATTAATTTGGCTTGATAATAGGTTAGCCAGTAGATAGTATCGGATTATTCCAGTAGATGGCGTTCTGCACATGTTAAAAAAATACTACATTAATTACAATTTTCCAACTACTATCAAAATGGTAAAGAATTATGGATTTACAAATTGATAAAATTTCGATTTCCATTAAATTATTTAAACCTAAAGAAATTAAAAAATTGGAAGCATTGTATCAGAGTAAAACAGAAGCTTTAATCCCTGATAAATAATTTCATGCATATTTCATTTATTCTTTAACGCAACATAATCCACGACGTTAATTAACATTTCAGATTTATCTTGAATTAATTATAACTTTTCAACGTGAAAGAAATTTTAATTTTTCGTTCTGCGTATTTCAAAATGGAACATGCGGGGAATAAATTATTCGGAATAAATTACGAATGGAATGACATCGCGTTAAATGATGAAAAATTTCATTCACGGGGGGTTTGTCATGTAAAATGAGCATCGCCAGAAGCGTGCTTGAGGAATCAATTCTATTAATTCCAAATACCAAGACGAGGGTACCGGAGGTCGAAGATAGTCTTTTTAATAGAACCTGCAGCGTGTTCGTTGGAATTTAATGCACCGTGTATATTTGATGACTTTATATCGCGGGATACACGCTTCAAACGTGATTCATTCGTAAATGGAACGCGATTTGACGGGACGATACGAGACGATGCGCTTTAAACTCGAAATTCTCAGATCACTTTTCAATTTACTCCCTGAAACGTTACCGGCCATTAAGCTCGTTGCTCCGACATATCGTTTGGCTGTAAATTTTGCAAAATTTCCCAGCGTTCGCGTCGTTTCGTAAGACATTCGTTACGTCGTTTATGATCCTGGTTATACAATCTTAATTGCAGTCGCTAAAACACGTTCCCATTAATAATTTACACGAATTTCTGCGATTTAAAATATTATTTATCCCGGCATTTTATTTTCTCGAATTTATCGTTAAGAATTATCGATACTATTTACAACTGAAGGCTCGAAATAACTGGTCGAATTACTGATCGTAATTATATACGTTTAATTAATGATTTCTTATTTTTATTTTTATCATTGGCTATGTATATTATACTTATGTTACCGATTATACTAACAAAGTATCAAATGAGTTATTTATTTATCAAATAAAAAATTTCGCGAAACGCAATGTATATATTTATTTAGCAAATAAAATGTTGGTTAATTGTCTTAATGCTGGAATTTTTTAAATATCGAAGACGGCGTTAATCAGTTTGGTTTGTAAACGGTTTTAATGCGAAACGTTATGACTGAAAATTATTCATGATATGAAAGATAAATACGAAGATAGATATATGAACAAGTAATACAGTATACAAATAATTATATCGGAGGAATTTGTCTGCGTATAATTCAGTTTAATTTCGATTGATTATATTAATTAATGATTACTACATTGCCAAAATTAGAGAAGACGAGTTCATATCAATGCTATTTAATTTCATACTCGTTCCGGTGTATTGCCTGGTGGACTGGCCATCGGTAATTAAATTCGCTATTTAAACATCAATTGAAAATATTATCATTATTACCAAGATAATTATGGTAATGAATGTCAAAATTATCATCGATCCTCTCAACGCGATACGTTCCATGATTATTTTATTGTTACACGAAACACGCCGAAGAATATCCATCTCTTAAATCACAATTGCTAATTACCACATTGACAACTTGCGAAAATAAAACGGACAGAATCTATCGTTCCTCGTTAATTTAAAATTGAAAAAATTTTCGAAAAAGTTCATCAATGGGAATATAGAAACTATCATCGTGAGACCAGAAAGATTTACCTAGAATCTCTCACAGTATCAGCATCGGTAGCTGTCAAGTATCAGAAGTCAACGACGCGGTGTCTGCAAAATTTCCCCCGTGAAAGGAGGTTCTCTAATTAAAGTTACGCTTTTCGAAATTTCTTGCCACGAAATCGTCGGTCTGGACAGGATTTGCCAAGCTAGTCAACTGTTCGACCTGTCTCGTCCAATTCGATTAACCCGTTTGCTACGAAAGCAACTTTCGCGTTTCCTAAAATATCCTGACACATCGGATTCCCTCGGTCTGACTATAACTGACTATAAAATTAACGATGTGGAGACAGCGAACGTACTCCAAAAATAAAAATCATAATTTAATATCAATCCTCTACAAGTTCGTGAATTCTCTGTCATCATTATCTCGCTACCTTTCACTCGAATTAAGGAAACGAAAAATCAGCCTCTTTATATCTCGCAACGTCTACGAATACGGCAGATGATCACGAAGGAAGAGGGTTCCATTGGTAAGCGAGGTGCCCACGCGACGAAGTGGCAGGAGTGGGGAGCGGAGCGAGACTCGTGGTGGGGGTAGCGGCCCCGAGTAGGCAGAATCTTCGAGTCTAGCTATAGCGGGCCAAGTGCGGAGTGATTCAAAGCAGACCACGGCTACCGTGGCGCTCCTCAAAAGACAGACAATGGCCAGAGGTGGCCTTTTTGCCGGTCTATGGTAATTTCAGGATGGATGGAACGAGCTGTGAGAGACAGACCACCCTCTGCTGTATCGGAAACTGCGCGCCGCCTGGAAATATTGTGCCAGGGATTATTTACATTTCAAACTAGGCGACCGGTTCCGATGGGAAATAATCCTTTTTTTCCTTCCACCCTCTCTCTTCTCCTTTTTTTTCTATTTCCGCACTCGCCGAGCCCCCCAGCGAAGGATTACGGAGATATTTCATTGAGATTTGATTGCGGTGCACGTGCGTCCGTGGCCGATGGGAACTTATAAATTTCGCTCGATTGTACAGCGTGAACGGTTTGTCTCTAGAGAGAGAATCGAGTGGGAGAGCGACTCTTCTCGCCATCTAGGCTTCTTTGCATATTCTCGCGTCTTTATTTTAAATCTCGCGCGTAACTGCGGCGGAATTAATCACGCGTAACTTTACCGGAATTATGCCCTTTTTCGCGCGCGGCGCAAATTTGCCTAAGCGAAACTCGAGTAAATCTAAATTTACGAAAGCTAGCGAAACTCGTTAGAGCTCCACCTAAACTTGCCTTCCATTAACCCCTTGATTACCGAGATGAGATACGCGTCATATATTTATCAGAACAGTCTTCTACCTAACCTAATTTAATAATAGACAAGCCACCGATGGGCTTAGAGTCTTCTCGAAAGAATTAGCTACATTCGAAAAATTAATACATTAGAAAACGTAAATGTGTAAATGGACAGTAAATTGACAGGCACAGAGATAGAAAAGAGAAGCAACGGACGAGTTAATTTAAGGAATTAGCAGGAGACATAACCTTGCGATGAATTAGCGGATAAGACGAGCAGCAAAATAGCACATAATCGGTGCAATGAGGAAGATATGGTAGTAGGGGGTTACAACCCTTGAAGGGCCGCAAAATTGGCACGCATCGCTCGTTCAACCAGGAAAATTAAAGATTTCGACTCGCGATAGCATCCCCTCTCTATCCCTCGGTTGGAGAGCAATTACTAGCCGCGTGAGTCGACCAGAAAGATTTCAGATATTCGCAAGGATAACCTTAACCACCCTTATTATGTAATCGTTAGCAAATTGTCTATTAAACGACAGTGAAAGGAAAAATCGTCGAGTTACGAACGGTGAATCTCAATTTGCAAGATTGGCGAATTTATGGGTATATTAGCTGTTAACTATTCGGCCCGAGGGCCGCCATAAAATTGTTATGGCATTTTCGTTACAGTTCACCTCGAAGCTGAATTTTGCCGAGTCGTAAAATCGCGGTTATTGGAATCCACGGTTTTTCCTAATCTGCACGGCTATTTATTTTTATGACCTCCCTGTCCAGCGAATTTCAACGTAAAATTCCATCCATCTTCAAGCCAAATCTTCACAGATTTATATTACAATTTATTAAATTTGCCGTGAAGTTTGGAGACATACAGTGTCTAATTTTAAGCTCGAGGTGGAAGAAAATTTGTCTGGTACGCGAATGATTTACGGATAATGTAATTTCACACGCTGAATTAAATTTTTGCTCTTTTTTTGAAATATATAAAAGTAAAATTCTAGTTTGAAAAAATTCTGAAAGCATTTCTGAAGATTCGTGAAATTTTCGCACGCAGGTGTAAAAAGATTAGCGATTGTGAGGCAAGCTTGTTTGCTATTTACCTATGACCTAACATGTATTTTTATATAACTTCCGTATTATATAGAAATAGGATTTGTGGAATGAAAAATAAAAAATTAACGACCTATCCAGCAATTTTCATAAAAATTCTGCGAAAAATATTATCTTTGTCGCATAATAATTGCCCAAGCTCATCGATGTCTGATAATTTTTCAAATTAGCAAATGCAAATTTTGAAACATGCAGGGTCTGATTTTAGGATATTCATTCCTCTACAATTTTTAATATCAATGTTAAATCTTAAATATTTCCATGGAGAATTATATACGCCAATCTGGTAGCCAGATTTGCATATACAAATTTGCAACGAGTAAGAAAAATCTGCCGAATATATCTGAGGAGGAATCCCAGAACCAGACGAAATTGTGAAAAAGGACTCACCGCTGAGATAGAAGTGGCTGGTGCTGTTGTACAGGTTCGTCACGATGGGCTTGATGTTATCGAATGTCATGGTCTTCAGCAGATTGTCCCTGAGGTCCAGCAGATACAATCCGGGTGCGCCAGCGAGGAAATCCGGTTCCAGGGTGACCAGCTTGTTCTCACTGAGACTCAGCTCCTTCAGATTCCTCATTCCGTCCAAAGCTTTTTCCGAGATGTACACGATCTCGTTCTGATCCAGCTCCAGTTGCCTCAACGACGGCATCTCGATGAATGTCCGGTCACCTATCATCGCGATCAAGTTGTTGCGCAGGTCCAGCCTGATCAAACTCCTCAGGCCGTGGAAGCTGTCGGCGGTGATGACTTTGATCTGATTGTTGAACAGCTCGAGCTTCTCCAACGAGGTCAGGTGCTTGAACGCCTTGTCGTGCAGCGTGCTGATGTTGTTGTCGTTCAGGTAGAGCGTCTTCAGCGATGGCAGGTTGACGAACGTGTCCCTGGAAATTGAACGAGCAGAGTTGAACAGAGACGACGAGGTGAGTCGTGAGAGCGACGAGCAAGGGATTGGGAAGAAATTGTGCGAGCAGGATGCTTCATGGCCCTGTTAATGGCGCCTGGCACGTCGGACGACGTACTTGCCCAGTTAACCGAGCCAATGTTCGAGCTTCCAGCTTCGAAGAAGCGTTTTGTTCCACGAAGGATGACGTTGTTCGGTCTGATGACTGTGGTTTGGTGCTCGCGGTTTGGGTTCGGTTTCGGTGATTCTGAGAGCACTGTTGTGCGAGAGATTTGGCACCTTTGGTGCAAGGAGTATGGAACGTGGAAAGTAAAACCTTGAGTAAGACACGAGATAGAGAAAATATTGGGTGAAAACTTAGGAGAAATTTAGTGAGAAATTAAGATATAGGTGACACGGGAAATTAAAAAATTAATTAAAATTAAAGGGTGCCATACGTATTTATATCTAAATAGATAGAATTTTCGAATATTTGAATCAAAATTACAGTGTCTTTTGAAAAATATTAGATACAGGTTGTGTAATTCTGTCTCATATGAAAAGTAAAACGTTGAATAATACACGAGATGGTAAGAATATAGGGTGAGTATTTAGGATTATTAAGATATAGGTGACAGGGAGAATTTAAAAATTAATTAAGGTTAAAGGGTGTCATACGTATTTATATCTACACGGATAGAGTTTGAGGAACTGCATCGAATATTTGAATCAAAATTATATAGCCCCTTTTGAAAAATATTAAATCAACGTTGTGTAATTTTGTATTATATGGAAAGTAAAGCGTTGAGTAATACACGAGATGGTAAAAATATAGGGTGAGTATTTAGGATTATTAGGATACAGGTGACAGGGAGAAGTTAAAAATTAATTAAAATTAAAGGGTGTCACGCGTATTTATATATACACGGATAAAGTTTGAAGAATTGCATCGAATATTTAAATTAAAATTTTATAGTCCCTTTTGAAAAATATTAGATACAGGTTGTGTAATTTTGTCTTACGTGGAAAGTAAAACGTTGAGTAATGCACAAGATGGTAAAAATATAGGGTGAGTATTTAGGATTATTAGGATACAGGTGACAGGGAGAATTTAAAAAATATCTGAAATTAACCCTTTGTGCTCGACGATTTGATGACGAGTTGAAAAATTTTCTACTATAAAGCCGATGATATTTTTTCAGCAGCAAATAAAAAATCGTATAATAATTAACACGTAGAATTATTTAATTTCGAAACCTCGCACACTGTTATATTATTTTAAATTTGATATATTAATTGATATCGAGCTTCGAAATTTTATCAAATGGCGACTGAAGGGCGCTTCTCGAATGCAAAGGGTTAAAGGATGTCATATGTATTTGTGTCTACACTGCATCGAATATTTGCATCAAAATTATACAGATCCTTTTGAAAAATATTAAGTTCAGGTTATATGCGAAATTTTGTCTTACGACATATCTTCTACCTCAAATAATTTTGAAAATATAGCTTCCTCAGGTTGCGTGGGGCACCCTATATATGCATCACTGCATCTATATATATTATAATTTCAAAAGGGTATATCGAGAAACCCTGGCGGAAAATAATGGAATAATTAGAAGATGGAAGAATTTTCATGTTTGCCTGTGAGCAATAGTGAGATTACACGTGTTGGAAATTTAGTATGACGAGGGATTATACAGCGGAGAAGATGAATCTTTGTAATTGCACGAAGTATTAGGACCTAGACCACGCCATGTGGCGGCTCCAGTCTAACTCGGGGTACACTCAATTATGGGGTTAATCTATCACAGCGAGCGGCTAGCAATTTTAGTAGAACTTAAGCGTTTACAAGTACATTATATGTAAATAATATGTACAAATTGCTCCGTACAGTAAACTGTCGCGAAGTTGCATACGTAGATTAACGATCGATGCGAATTTCGGCCGCAGAAGCACGCGAATAATTACCAATTCGCGAAGTATTCAAGGACCAAGCCTTTTTGCGGTATAATTTTTAACGAGTCGATCTGCCAAAGAAAAATGGCATAATTTTGCGCCACTGCGAATCCTCGTTCAGCTCCATCAACTTCGCGTCCTTCAAGGAGCAATAAAATCACAAATGCTTCCACGATGGTACGTAAAACGAATCTCGGTTATTAACCACCCCATAAACTATTACCATAAAACCGGATAGAAGTCAAGCGCTTCTCGATCCTTCATTAGTCCATTAAAATTCCAACGAAAACCCTGCATACGTTTTCCAGCATCCTACACCAACTCTCCAATACGCGGGATGACTACAGCAACCTAGAAGCCCATCGCTCGTTCCGAGATAAGAAATCAATCAGCCTAAGTACCCCAAAACACCCTCGGAACACTCCCAACGATTAATCCAACCCTCCAATCAATTACGACTACGAGTTCCCCTGCAGTCTCTCCTTTCAACCCTTCGAAATATCGCTGAGAAGCAGCGCAGAGACAGGATTCCCCCCGTCGTCGCGAGCTTTTGTAGTCTATTCGCGGCGTTCAACCCTAAGCGGCCGCATTTAGGCGAAAAGTCGAGCGATCGAGATTCCTCCGGGTCGCATTGTCCGCGTTTCTATCGCGTGACTGGATTCATATCGAGCGTCAGCGATCGCTGGGGTTATTTATGGTGTCGCAGGGACCGGCGCGACGAGCAGATTGCGAGTACTCGCGCGATCACGCCCGCGAGACCCTCCGGCCTTCGCCGATAAGGAGCCGGCAGCCGCGACTTTCCACGCCGATAATGCGTTGCGTATACACCCTAAGCCGCGTTGCATGCCAGATACCGAATCATAATGCACGTAACGGTTGCTTCTCGCTTCCTGCATTCCATGCATTCCGTCTAATGAGGCTCTCGTAGGGGGTGAAAACGTGATTTCAGATTTCAGATTTCTCTTGGACTGGTGGCTCTCCGTGAGCTTAATGATAAGTTACAATTTCGGACAGTGGTCTTCTTCTTTCAGTGTTTTTGGGTGTCGTGAATTAATTTTAAATTTTCACCGATTAAATTAAAATATTTTAATTTGAAATTATGAAATACGTTAAATATTTACATTAAATAAATAATTTTCAAAGAATCTCATACAGGATGGTTAATTAACACTAGATTGTCGGAGGTTGGGTATATATATCTATTTTGCCTGAAATGAGTCAATGTGACTCAAACATCAAAATTGAAGTTCTTTAAGAAAATAAAATTTTATTTTAAAGAAACTTTATTCGAAATAATTTTTGTATATATATATTCTGTTTTTAAAATACATTTTCCACGGATTTTTGCCAGGCAATAGAACCCTCGATTCGACAGGGTTGCATGACGGTACTTGGGATTCGGCTAACAAGGGGCCTGACTCAACGTAAGTCCGCACGCGTTGTACCCTTGGTCCTCGGTGAACCAAGGGACCATAAACTAGTAAATTGACAAGTTTGAACGTGAAAACTTTCGCATCAGATTGTTTACAAAAAATTTGTATGCGCAAGAAATAAATAACATGTGTATAAAACGACTAACTTTAAAAATATTTAATGAGTCAATTTGACTCACATCTGTCAAAATAGGTATAGCACATATGGATTTTTGGAACTAAGTAGTGAGGAGAGGAAGGAATTAGTATTTGTATACATTTTATAATTCTATGAAAAAGCAACATATGTTTTAAACAAAATTATTAAAATTTTTCTGTATATTATATATAGCAATAAAATCGTAAATGAGTCAAATTGACACATTTTCGATATATAAATTCTGATTCATAGAATTCTGGACCTAGGGTCACCCTACGTGTCTGGAAACAGCAAGGGTGGAAATTTTTTGATATTTACGAGTATCGAAAATAATTCTAAGTAAAATTATAATTTTCTTTGAGCTTCCAACGAATTATTTCACCCAAAATGAATATTTCTGACACACCTGTTTAAATAGGAAAAGAAAATTGCTTTGTTCGTGCGTCAGTCATATTTACGTTTGATTAATCTCCCCGGCAAACTTAACTTATGCTGTTTGATTTAATTGTTTGTCAACGATGATAAGTTTGCGTTGGTCACGTTAATGTGGTCGGTACACACGAACGGAACCGTGTTAACCGTGTTTTATCGATTAACTCTTAATTGCCAGTTGCACTTCATAAACTCCGTCCGCTTTGTCGCGAAAATGTAATTGAGCAATTCGCGCAGAACATATTGCACGGGTTAGTCTATGGCATTAGTCGAGGGTGTTTCACTAAGAATACTTTGTACTTTAATCGAAAGCCTCGAATGAAAATTCTCAATTGACTGAAGCTGAAGAAATCAACAGAGAAAAGGGGAAACGGAGCGTGTAAGTGAAACAAGTCGACGATTAATCAGACGGTGTGTCTTATTTGGAATAAAATCACTCGCGTTATGGTTTATTCGTTAATTAACCTCATGATCTTGCGAGTCTATTTAATAATACTGATTTAATTTTATTCTAAATTACGTGCAATATAATTTCTTCATTTTGGAATTATCTTTCAAAAAATAGTATAAGGGGGTTGTTAATATTGTACCCTAAAGAACCCTATTAGAAATTATCGAGATGATAGTGCTGCTTTAAGTATCGCAAAATTTATGAAGCGTTCGTAATTCCTCATCGCTGCCATAATTCTTCAACCTCTTATTCCTCAACCCTCCTTACTCCCTCGAAGGAAAAGTATGATGATTATTTAATCAACCAAATTACCACGAGTTTACTTTAATACATCTATTGCCGTTATTTATCGTATTTATCGCTTATTATTTACTATTTATTACTTGCTATTTATATTATATACTATTCATATTATTTATTATTTATTATTATCATTTATTAAAATCTAAAATAACGAAGAAAGGAAAAAAATAGTGGTATTAGTCAATCTAGGTTGTCTATAAATTCGAGAAATTTAATTAAACTACGAGTTTCAATAGATCCGTTGAAATTTAATACGTTAACACGTAGTTATTAATTTGAACCTATCAATTGCAACAGATGAACGAGCAAATGGAAAGGGATAGCCGGGCAAAATATCCTATGATTCTATTAATTCAGTTCATCCCTAAATTTGGCTAAACACGATGCTCCCTATACATTCGACGAGTATTTAATCAACCGAACTACCCCTAATTTATTTTCTATCCATCCAGCAAAATTAATTACCGCTCTCGATCATTAACTCTAATCTATCGGTTATCGAATAGAAAAGCCGGACAATTAGAGAGGGGGGGGGGGGGGCAACGGGATTCGTGTAGTACATGCCGAAATTCTCTCGATTAACCCAGTTTACCCTTAAATTTGGCCCTTCGCGAGACACTCGAACACTCGGCTGCTAATCGCGTAATCGAGTATTAACGGGCCCAAGCTATCGCGTAATGCGGATTTCAAGACCCGTGAACGCGCGAGAAGCCGATTCGATTTGCCGAAGGAGCACGCTGATTCACCTAAACGCGAATTCCCCGGCGCATCGCGAAATTCCACGGCAATTTATGCGGCGGTCGTAAAACGCCTCCCCCTACGAACACGTTTTCACTTTGCTCCGAGCTCAGACTCCGTAATAGGGCGTAATTGGACGAATCAGTCGGAATTATGAAGGGCGACGGGGAAAGGAGGCCGAGTGTCGTTCGAACACCATCGAACAACGTTTATGGGAAACGGGATAAATTCCAGCCGGCGATTATTGCTCAATGGAAGAATGAAATTCTCCGCGGGGTTCCTTTGGGAAGAAAGCTGTCGCTATCGAAATCATGTTTCGAGATCACGAGGTATTCACAGTTGAAGATTTTCCTATGCAAAACCACCATATTGACAAAAAGAACCTATATAAGACATAATTTTATCTATAATGAAATAAAAATAGAATTCTGTAAAATAAAAATAAATCCTGTTCAAATTTTTAATATTGGAAAACCAATTCTCGTCCATAAAAATTATTATTTATTATTATTAATTAAGAAAGAGGGCTATGGTAAGGAATGTACTATAAGATTGCTATAATCTTATTGCAATAACCTTATAAACATAAATTTTGCTCATAATAAAATAAAAATAAAATACTGTAAAATAAAGATAAATTCTGTTGAAATTCTTAATATTGGAATAACAATTCTTGTCCATAAAAATTATTATTGTTCTTATTATTTAAAAATGAGGACTATAATGAGGAATATACTATAAGATTGCTATAATCTTATTGCAATAATCTTATAAACATAAATTTTGCTCATAGTAAAATAAAAATAAATTCTATTCAAATTTTTAATATTGGAAAACCAATTCTCGTCCATAAAAATTATTATTTATTATTATTATCATTATTTAAAAAAAAGGACTATGATAAGGAATATACTGTAAGATTGCTATAATCCTATAAACATAAATTTTACCTATAGTAAAATAAAAATAAATTTTGTTCAAATTTTTAAGATTGAAAAATCAATTCTTGTCCACAAAAACTATTATTGTTATTATTATTATTATTTAAAAAAGAGGACTATAGTAAGGAATATACTATAAGATTGCTATAATCTTTTAAATATAAATTTTACCTATAGAAAAAATAAAAATAAATCCTGTCCAAACTTTTAATATTGTAAAACCAATTTTGGTGCATAAAAATTATTATTATTATTATTTAAAAAAGAGGACTATGATAGGGAATGTCCTATAAGATTGCTATAATCGAGAAATGAATTTATTCTCAAAAATAACTTTCTACCGAAGATCTCTTCGATCGGTGTTTTATTTTTCTTCAATTTCTCGAAGAGTTATCACTCTCTCTCTCTCTCTCTCTCTCTCTCTTTTCCTCTCTCTATCTTTCTATCTATCTCTGTGATTGGAACGAGATGGAAGTGGAAACGTATTGGTAATAGTTTGACGATGATTAGAGTGGAATTCAGAGATCCTTGGGTGTTGGGTCTGGTTGAACATTGCTCCGGGTAAAGCGAATATCGCGAGTAACGAATCATGAGACGCAGACTCGGGTACTAGCGTAAATGAACGTGTCAAGTAGGATGGATCAGAGAGTGGAGAGAAAATGAGAGACTTTGGGTGAAAAGAGACGACCGGCAGAGGGTATGTAAAAATCTAAATTAATTGGAGCAACTTCTTTTACTTTTACACTGGATCCAGCGTGGTGTTCGAGAAAGAAAGTAATTTACCAGAATGGAAATTAAGAAGAAAATTCTGCACAGCAATTATTTGCAAAATTACCGATTTTTGGCGATTATTGTAAATAATTACTTCGCAATTCCTTTCATCGTCTATGTAAACAGCATTATTGATATTTATCATCGTTCATTCGAACCGGATTAATTAACTATCACGTAAACTGTGTATTACGAAAATGTTCAACTCCCTACGTTTGCAGTGCAGCTAATCCCAAGTTACTAAAATTCATTACATTATTTGTCACGAGTACTTATCCGAACACAAAGTTCCCAATTTAATTAATTTCGAGTTATTAAAATTATTCCCCAGTAACCACATCTGAGCGATAAATTTCCATGCAAATTCTAAAACGTACCACGTGTGCCAGATAAAGCGATATCAAATTGCGGAATTTATAAGAATTCACCAATCTGTATTTTTCCAAACACGAAGAACACGAGGCTTACGATACCTAATGAATCCCACGAATTCAGGTCCAAAAAATCTCCAATCTTTTTATCTTCGAAATCATTTCCGCGTGCAATAAAAAATGTAAAAAGACCTGTTTTTTATTATTATAAATCGCGTGTGTAATTCTTATTCTACAAGTTCGATCGTTGGATTGCCGAAGATTTCCAAAACGTCTCTGAATAAATTAGCATGGCCCCTTTAGGCCATCCAATTAGGATGACAAGCGAAATCGTGAACTTCGGTGGAAGACGACCCTTTTATAGTCAACAGCCGATTGTTATTTTATCCTAACATTCTCGAAGGTGTTGGATCGTTCTATCCCGAAGTTACGATCCACTCATCTTGGTCAAATACCGGGTGGATACGAAAATCTCGTAATAATATGTATCTTGTTAGTACTTAGTCCGTGTATAGTACTTAACGCTCTGCCCGTATGACAGTCACGGGACAAATTATTAATGGGTTAAATACGACATCCACGACTAACGTACACATACCCCTAACTTCTCCAAAGGCAAATAAGAGAAAGAAACTAAAAATCCTTCTCACCTGTTAATCTCGGTGATCCGGTTCTCGTTCAGATAGATCACCGACAGATTCTTCATATTCTCAAACGCGTGCATCCTGAGTATGGATATAGAGTTCTTGCTGAGATTGATCTCCGTAATGGTAGACAGATTGGAGAACACGAATTCCGGCAGCTCGTTGATACTCGTGTACTGGAAGCCGATCTTCTGCAGGTTCTTCAGCTGCCTCAGCAGCTCCACGGGCACGTATTCCAATCCGTTTGGCGTTCGGACCACGAACTGCAGCTTCTGCAGGTGGTTCTGCGAGCTGAAATAGTTCCACGTGGGATCGTTGGCGCTAAAAGGACTAAGCACCACGCAGGTAGCATCGGTGGCATTGCTGATGGCGTCGCTGTTGCACGTGCAGTAGATAGGAGCCTGCGTGTTCTCGATCATGCAGATGTTCACCTCCCTCGCCTTCTTCGGCACTTTCTTCTTTCCCCGTGACCTCGTCGAGGCTGACAGGCTCGAAGGGAAGATCGAGGTGAGGAGAAGAAGCTGGAGAAAGATCCAGGAGAGTCGCTTCATCTCGATCACTGGGTCCGGATCTGCGGGCAGAGAAGCATAGTCTCGTTGCAAATTGTTTTCGCCTCTGATCGATGGATTATGGATGAATTATCAAAGGAGACTTGGCAGAGGGTAGCGGACGATGTGCCGTTGACGTATTAACGATAATAGAATTGTTAAACGCCGATGAAATATGCAGAAACATGGCTGCTTCGCGTGCACCCTGGATGCGGTACATCACGCTTTCGGATTAATTATTGCGGGTATCGATCACTGGAATTCGTAAATGAAACGGTGTTAAATTCATCTGCTTCGTGATAAGAAATGGCTCAGAGTTTGACAGCGCGAGATACCGCGTGATCTACGGCGCGGTTATTTATCGGTTTGATTATAATCGTCGCGGGGGAGATTGGATAACTTCGAAAGCTCGGCAACTCCCACTTGCGGGAGTTCAGGTGCTCTTGAGATGGGACATCAGGAATCGGACGAGGTGATTAATCAGGGAAAATGGGACCTTTTTCGTGGGAATACAAAGGATTGAAATTATAATGAAACTTAACACAACGAATTTAACATTCCAAGTTCTCCGTAAATATTAATCCTTAAGGAACTATGATCGCATATATGCGTTCTGCGTGAACCATCAATTTGGCAGAGGAACATATACACTTACTGACAAAAGTTAAAAAACAATGTAATGGTTTGGGAATTTTGGTATATACTTTATCTTCTACGACACATAGGTTGAAACTAAAAATGGCATAGTAAGACAGCATTCCATACATCAATAAACAATAAGTTCTTTTTTGAATATACTTGTGCAAGGACCACAATTAAATTGAATCGAAGATTGAAATGGAATTGTGGCCCTTGCACAAAGATGTTCGAAAAGGAACTCACTGTTTATTGATATATGAAATATTATATTATATTATATTATACTATTTTTAGTTTCAACCTATGTGTCTTAGAAGATAGAAAATATACCCAAAGTACCAATAGATTACGTTGTTTCTTAACTTTTGTCAGTAACTCTATGTGTCTCAAATAAACGTATCGCTATGACCACGTATGTCTAGAATTTGACATCTTATAGCGCTGTCAACGAAAATAGCAATGAAGCAGAAATGTACACTGGCAATTTGAAATGCCTATCGTTGACAGCAACTTGACTTCATAGTATGGTTAACTACGAACCGCCCCATCTACAAAGGGTTAAAAAGAATATTTCTATAACACCATTTGAGTTCCATTCCCTTTCCACTTTCAAAATCAAATACAATATAATATATCTCATTATATATATAACATTATACTGAAATCTAACCCAATGAAGCTACTTACATATATGACAAAAATGGCACGAGGAAAAATATTTAAAAAATTCCAGCAAACGATCAACCTCGTACTTAGGAACTCGTTCTTCGGAACCCCTGACCGTTAGCCTAGATGAGCAGGTGAGCGCGATCATGGTCCATCGGCGCAGAAGAATGCAGTCGGTAGCCGGTTGCAGGGTAGCTGAGGGGTGGTGGGTGGACGGAAGGAAGAAAAAAGGAGGTGGAAGAAGGCTCGGGGGTGTAAAGGCCGTGAAAAAGGTACAAGAAGAGGGACGAGGCGTAGGAAGGCGTTCACGGCCGCGTGGACAGGTGCGAGAGACGCGAAGCTCTCACCTGTCGGCGGCACTCTTTTTTCCCCGCAAAACGAAGACGAGCCGAAAAGGGACAGCTCGCGGGAACTCTTTGAAAAATTATCATCCCGAGCGGAACGCTCGCATAATGCCGCGTCTCGTCTGCCTTTGTTTTTCAAGCTGCCGGCGCCCGCCGTCGCCCGGCGTCGCGACGCCCCGGCGTGCGTGTGCCGTCGCGGTCATCGAGGCTCCACGAGCGTGGAACACTCATTCCCTTCGGTTTTTCTCCGGTTCCCACTTTCCAAGATCTGTGCCCGGTTTTCTTTTGTACCAACTGCGAGCTTCTTTCCGACGCGGAAGCGCGGTTAGCGAGTACTCGTAATTGCACTTCGTTTTCTGCTTCTTGTTCTTGGCCCGGCTTGCGAGCATGGCTAAGGAGAATCGTTTTAAACGACGTCGCAAGCTGTTTACCATTGGCTCAGAGTTAGGTTAGGTTTACGAATTTGAACATAATAGAATTGATAAAATTATTGGTCGAATAATAGGTTTAATTAATTTGATAATTGGAGAATTTTTGTCTTCATAGCGAGTTGTCATTATGGGATATTTTTGAGTATGGGAATTATAGAAATTTGTTTAAATGGATGTTTGCCGTAGTTTTATTTTAGGAAACTTGTAAACTCAGCGTGCGTTCATTTTCTTTGAATTCTAATGGGTTCTCCCGTTTAATAAATCAATAAATAAATAAATGTAGATTGAAAATGGTAGGTTCATTGTCATACGTTGCTGATAACGAGTTATCGTATTTTGGATTTTGGATTTTGCGAGCTTGTGATTTTGTTTGTGACGAGACAATTTTAAAGGAAAATGTGTGTACTGTGGTTGATGCATGCATTAGACAGGATTCAACTGATTATTTATCTTCTTGGGATTGACTAGTCCCGTTGGACCGAGTATAGATCGGGAATGGGAAATGCAACTGAGTTCTAAATATGCGACGATCATGAATATTTATGTGTATTGGCATTCGGGTGTATAAATATCTATCATAGATACGGAATTCTATATTTTCTGGAAACAAATCGATAAACAAACAAGTTTTCATTGATTCTTCCTTATTATATTCTGCGATGGGTATGAATAAATAATTGTAAAAATTGTAAAGGGATTCATTTCAATATTTAGACATAATAATACTGGAATACCTGAGCCTCTCTCTCTATATATTTAAATATTCAAATACCCCCAATTTTCGAAATTAAAACATTTCCATATTTTTCTAACATCATCAAGCTTTGATACCATCAATGGTTAAACCGATTTCAAAAATTTTCATCGATCCTACCCTCGATCTTCTTATACCCCAAACTGTACCCAACGACAAATACCAGGGTATGAACAAATAAATTTAATTACAAGGGGATTTGCTTCAATATTTAGACATAATAATACTGAAATACCAAAATCTCTGTATATATATCTAAATATTCAAATATCCATATTTCTTGAAATTAAAACATTTCCATATTTTTCGAACATCATCAAGCTTTGACACCATCAGTGGTTAAACCGATCCCAAAAATTTTCATCGATGCTACCCACGATCTTCTTATACCCCAAACTGTACCCAACGACAAATACCAGGGTATGAACAAATAAATTTAATTACAAGGGGATTCGCTTCAATATTTAGACATAATAATACTGAAATACCTGAACCTCTGTATATATGTATCTAAATATTCAAATATCCATAATTCTTGAAATGAAAACATTTCCATATTTTTCGAACATCATCAAGCTTTGATACCATCAATGGTTAAACCGATTTCAAAAATTTTCATCGATCCTACCCACGATCTTCTCATATCTCAAACTGCACCCAACGACAAATACCAGGTTAAATATTCAAATATCCATAATTCTTGAAATGAAAACATTTCCATATTTTTCGAACATCATCAACCTTTGATACCATCAATGGTTAAACCGATCCCAAAAATTTTCATCGATCCTACCCACGATCTCCTCATATCTCAAACTGCACCCAACGACAAATACCAGTGAAACGAGAAATAAATCAAGAAATGCATAAAAAGACGAATGGACAAACGAACAAAGCCACTGGTCCTTTTTCAGATCTACTGCAAAATTTGTTAGCTCGTAAGGTGCATCGAATATATTGTCCCGGCTGCGCACGGTCGACTTATTGCACCGCGTTTTTATACTCCCCGGCTTTTTCCCTATTTTCCCCTTTACATATATTTTTTTTTGTCCTCTTTTTATTTCCGCCGCGACGCGGAAAGGGACGACTCGCGCGCTCGCAACCCCGCGCCATCTATTTTATAATTGAAAATTCACGTTGAATACCTGTGGCTCGCGTTTCCGCGGACATGGGAAATAAAAACACTCGACCGCCGTCATACGTTACGCAAGACGGTCCATTAAACAGAATCGTCAGCGGGCTTTTCTCCACCCCTGAATCCGCTCGCGCGAGGAAGCCGACGCTGTTGCACGCTTCCGTCCCCGCGATTACCATTTTACCCGGCGTATAAATAATAACGCGTTTAAAAACGCTTCTCGTGCTGGCTGAACGATCTTCGCGTTTCGTTTCAACCCGTGTCATATTTTTACGCCGCACCGCCGGCTGGCTGGACACGTGGCGTTCAAGGGGTGCTGTTGGGTGCCCGACGCTCACACGGTTTATGTCACGTTACGTTATTCTCTCGCATCTGGAAATTCGAGAGCGGAAACACTGTGTACGAGCGCGTATACTAGCTGCCAGACATCGGTGAATCTTTTCTTGTTTTGGTTAGGGCACTTGAAAGTATAGGGAGTTAGGGGTAGCAGCGGAGTCGCGATGGTATACGTCGCGAGTACGAGGCATGACAAGTATCATCTAATAGTTAGGATAATTCTTAAGCTGGTTGAAATAATTGATTGGGGAGTCAGGATTCGAAGATTCGAGGATGGAACAGGTCAATCCCTGGGTTTTTAAGAATATCCTGACACTTGGAAGCATCGTGGCTGACTGCATACAAGATCGAATGACACATTGATACTCTGTATTCTTTACTACTTATTACTGTCAATAAATTGGATGGGAAAATTGGGAAAGGTTCGACGAACCTCACAACTTTTGCATTTTACTTTTTGACACGTCGAATGCCAGACAATGTTTGATAAAGCAATTTTCTGTCATCTCTCACCGTTTCCGAGTTAGCTCTTGGGAGATGGATCTTTGAGGGGTGATTTCTCCTCTAAGCTTGTGTTATCATACCTAAAGCAAAATACCTATATAATATTCTTGACTGTTCTTTAAGTCTGCCAAATTTCATCCAAATCGGAGGCAACACCTCCTTGTCAATTAGTCATATGCTACAATAACGATAAACGATAAATAATATCACTTTA